CGAAAAATAGGATTTAATGTGGCATATCAGGATTTTTGGAAGCTTGTAAGAATTTATGCCGATAATGATCCCCATATGTTCCAATATGAAGGTGTCGCCCAATTTTGATATTCTGAAGATCTGTCCCGCATTTCCCATCGAAGTGCTTCCCTTTATTTGGTATTTCGAGGTGTGGGAATCTGACCTACATCTATGAAGCAATTAGTAAATGTTGGCACATGTTTAGACATATATAATTCAATTTGTTGGTATTTAGAAGCTTTCAAACTTATCTTAGGCAGGTCCCGCAATATTTTCAGTACTTTTGGAGGCTTCTCCTGTCGATGCGAATTTTAAAAATTTTTAAGGGTTTTGATACCACCTAAATTTTATTCTTCATGTTGTATTTCATTGGACATCACGTGTCTCATTGACTGCACCAGTAACGATATTTCCTCTAGGTACGCGGCAATTTGTTCAACCTTATCACACCCAAAACAGTGGAATTTTTCCTAAGTATCTGTCAAGAGCGAAAAAAACGTGCGGTCGTTTGAGTTAATTAAAATCTTCTTTTATATCTAACAGACTCAGTATTATCGCATTGTTTATTCAGCTGAGTTGAGAGGTGGAATTCAATTCATAAATTTATTAAAAAAATAGTTAATTGAAACATCTTTTAGATTTTTTTGGAGACAGCCAAATATTAGTAAAATTGAAGAGTAAATAATTTTCGGAAATAATTTTTTTTTTTTTCAAATGAAATAACCTTGCTCCAGAGTAAATTTTAAAATAATAATTTTATACAAAACCAGGGGCCATTGACTTAAAAAACGTTAGTCGAATTAAAGCAAGAGTTTGGTGAATATAGGCCGGCAGAAAATAATGAAATCGGATATTATTCTAATGTTATGTATTATTATACAAGCGCTTAGCTACGCAATGGCAAACTATTGTGCGGCAAATTTGTGTCCACGCGGTGTGAAACACATAGCTTGTAACAATAAGGGGGTAAATCAGTTTACTATAAAAAATATATTTTTTATCAATTAAAAAAAAATAATTTTGTTATTTCTCCTCCTTTCTAGAATTTCTATGCAAGTTGCCCCAAAGATGCTGCCATGGTGAAAATTGGACCCAAATTGAAAAATATCATACTGACAAACCACAACCGCAAACGTAACATTATTGCCGGTGGCAGAATTGCTAAATTTAAGCCAGCTTGTCGTATGGCCACAATGCGATGGGATCCTCAGTTGGCCAAAATTGCATCGTATAATGTGCGTCAGTGTAAAATGTCTCACGACAAATGTCGCAATACACCAAAATATCGATTTTCAGGACAAAACTTAGCCTGGCGTTCATTTAGAGGGAAATTGAAAAAATCGAAGTTAATGCAAGCTGCCATTAATGCATGGTATGTTGAATATAAAGATACCAAATGGACGCATATTCAGTCTTATCCCAGTAGTTATAAGGGACCGTAAGTAAACAAAAATCTGGGGTTAACAAACTAAGTTTAGATTCTCATTACAAATATATTTTTTCCAGAGCAATTGGCCATTTCACCACCCTAATGGGTGAACGTAACATTGCCGTGGGCTGTGCTGCTGCCACCTACTCAACCAAAGGTGTTACATATAAAACATTTTTAGTTGCCTGTAATTATGCCACAACCAATATTAATAATAACCCCGTGTATAGGGCCTGCCCAAAAGCAGCGGCCAAATGCAATGTTGGTGTAAATTCCAAATTTAAGAATTTATGTGGTCCCAAAGAAACGTACAATGTTAATAAATGGTGAAAATTGAAATGAATTATTGAGTTGAAATATTTGAATTAATTTAAAAATTCAAGCCTATATAGCCCCCCACCCAAAAAAAGTAAGGAAAGTAATAAAGCCGGACTGAGCCGACTATATGATACCCTTCATCACTTTGGGTATATTGTAACAATTGCATGTCTCTGTTCCCTCTTTCTCCAACCTATCCTAACTTTAATTTCATTCGAGCAGATATAGAGCCGTTTGCGTAACATGGGTAACGTTTATGGAAAACGATTTATAGCAAAATTGATACACGCTATTCGGTACGCCGAGTTGTTAAAAATATAATCTATATGTGGGAGCTATATCTAAATCTGAACCGATTTTCAAGAAAATTATCACAATAATTATCACATATTCAGTACGCTACGCCAAATTTTGTACAAATCGAAGGATATATATAGGGACCTTGGTGCACCATTTACATAAAATCGAAAATATATATGGAAGATGTGTCGAAATCTAAACCGATTTTTCCGAAACTCACCAATCATCGTTCTAGACTCAATTCATACGCTTCGTGCAAATCGAAGGAGGTGCACTATTTACCTAAAATCGGACGAAAATATATATGAGAGCTATATCTAAATCCCAACCGATTTTCACGAAATTTAACACACATCGTTCTAGACTTAATTCAGCACGCTATGCGAAATTCGTGCAAATCGAAGGATACAAAGGGACTTTGGTGCGCTATTTACCGAAAATAGGACGAAAATATATATGGGAGCTATAACTGAATCTGACCGATTTTCAGTAAACTTGGCACACATCATTCTAGACCTAATTCGTTACGCTGTGGCAAATTTGCAAATCGAAAGATATATAGGGACTTTGGTACACCATTTACCTCAAATCGGGCGAAAATATATATGGGAGCTATATCCAAATCTAAACCGATTTTCAAGAAACTTGACACACATCATTCTAGACCTAATTCATTACGCTGTGCCAAATTTCGTACAAATCGAAAGATACATAGGGACTTTGGTACACCATTTACCTTAAATCGGACGAAACTATATATGGGAGCTATATCAAAACCTGAACCGATTTTCACGAAACTTAGCACACAACATTCTAGACTTAAATGATTAGGCTGTACCACATTTCGTGCAAATCGAAAGGTATATAGGAACCGTTTACATTAAATCGGTTAAATATATATATGGGAGCTATATCTAAATCTGAACCGATTTTTCCCAATTTCAATAGAGTTCGTCCTTGGGCCGAATAAGTGACCTATGCCAAATTTCATCTAATTCGGATCATAAATGCGACCTGTACTTTGTTTACAATTTAACATGAACAGACAGACAGACGGACGGACGGACATGCATAAATCGACTTAGAAAGTGATTCTATGCATATTCTCAAAAGGAACCACGTATCAAAATTTATGTTCCCTCATCAGTCATAAGGCTGAAGGCACAAATACGTGTCTGCTCATTCCCACATTGTACTTACATGTATAGTTTCTGGGTCACAAGTCGTCGTCTCCCACATGGTATTCCATACTGAATTATAATATTCGTCCGTCCGCCAGTCCAAACGTTCTTCTGTTGTAAACATTTAGAAAAAAAGAAATATGTTGTCGGTATTTTTCTTTTGGTCTTAACTAATTATCACATTATTTCAAGCGTCATAAAATCTGAAAACATAAACAAATAAATAACAACAAATATCACATACACACACACACACACCCAGACATTCACATTGGCGCAGTACTAAAAGGAGAGTACATGTAAAAGTGCATTCGAAAAAGGGCACTAGGATTCTAGACTTTGTATGTGCATCTCATCGTCGTCCGTCATCCATGTGCCGTCATAAAAGTCTCTATTTGAAATGTGTTAAAATATGGTGCATAGTATGTTTAGTCGTACATGCATAAATAATACATCATATTTCGATGGGTATCATAAACATAGTTTATAGTACGCTAAAATCTAGTAAAACGAGAAGGGGTAAATGTGTTAATTGTTGTAGGAGTCTAATAAATCGAACATCTATAGAAATTTATTTATGATATAAAAAAAAATTGTAACGGTATTTCAAACGAATATCCCTTTTTCGGATATATCAACATTTTAGAATATATTTATTGAATATTTCAAAACAAAAATTTTCGGAGTAGAAGAATCTACAATGAACTTTTTATACACATCCCTGATTGACTTCTGTACGATGTGGCAAATGGCAGTCTGGTTGTTGTAGCAATCCTTCTGGATGTAGTCTTTGACTGAAAAGTGTGGTGGGCTACGCAATGTTATCCCTTCGGTATGGGGCCTAAGTGAATATATGTCACTACTTTTGTAACAGAAATAGCTGTGGTGACTGGTTTTTTGTCGATTGGAGCTCCCACGTTCGAGGTAATATGGTAGTGGTCATTTCAACGAAAGTAATCAAATAGAATAATCCCATTATTATCCCAACAAAACTGTTACTTTAATTTCTAAGGTAGCTCTCTTTTAAGTCTTCCTCCCACATGTCAGTTTTTATACAATCGACCTCATTGCTAACCAGTCAGGAAAGTAGTATAGTCGGACGGGGCCGACTATATGATACCCTTCACCACTATCCATAAACATTTCAATGGGACAAAAGTATGTAAATCGACTTCAAACAAATATAAATAGGTCATCCATTGTGCTATGCCTGTACTTCTAGAAAACGCAACCACGTAATTCTATGCTCAATTTTGTACATTGTGCAAACTTTGATGTCAATCTGACTAACATGAGGAGTTAGATGCCCAATTTACTAAAAATCATGCGAAAATATATATGGAAGGTATATCCAAATATGAAGCGATTTCAACGAAATATGTTAGGTTATATTAATTTCAGTACGTTTTGGGAGCTATATCTAAATCTCAACCTATTTTCACGAAACTTGGCACACATCATTCTGGACTAAATTTACATCAAATCGGACGAAAATATATATGGGAGCTATATCTAAACTTTGACTGATTTCCACGAAACTTGGCAGACATCACCTAGGCTCAATTCAGTACGTTATGCCAAATTTCGGGCAAATCGAAAGATATATATAGATTTTGGTGCAACATTTACATGAAATCGGACGAGACTATATATGGGAGCTATATCTAAATCTGGACTGATTTTCTCGAAACTTGGCAAATCGAAAGATATATTTGGTGCACCATTTACATGAAATCGGACGAAAATATATATGGGAGCTATATCTAAATCTGGACCGATTTTCACGAAACATGGCAGACATCACTCTAGGCTCAATTCAGTACGTTATGACAAATTTCGTGCAAATCGAAGGATATATAGGGACTTTGGTGCACCATTTACATGAAATCGGACGAAACTATATATGGGAGCTATATCTAAATCTGGACCGATTTTCTCGAAACTTGGCAGACATCACTCAAGGCTCAATTCAGTACGCTATGGCAAATTTCATGCAAATCGAAAGATATATTTGGTGCACCATTTACATGAAATCGGACGAAAATATATATGGGAGCTATGTCTAAATCTGGACCGATTTTCACGAAACATGGCAGACATCACTCTAGGCTCAATTCAGTACGTTATGCCAAATTTCATGCAAATCGAAAGATATATTTGGTGCACCATTTACATGAAATCGGACGAAAATATATATGGGAGCTATATCTAAATCTGGACCGATTTTCACGAAACTAGGCAGACATCATTCTAGGCTCAATTCAGTACGATATACTGAATTTCGTGCAAATCGACTGATATATAGGCTCTTTGGTGCACCATTTACCTTAAATCCGACGAAAATATATATGGGAGGTATATCTAAATCTGAACCGATTTTTTCCAATTTCAATGGGCTTCGTCCTTGGGCCAAACAAATGAGCTGTGCCAAATTTCATCCAAATCGGATTATAAATGCGACCTGTACTTTGTTTACAATTTAACACCAACAGACGGACGAACATGCATAATATTTAGTCCAAACGTAGATCAAGCCCGAAGATGGACAGTATCGGTCCACTCCTTTTGGCAACTCACCCAAAAAGTGGTCAACATTTTGCTGAAAATTAATTTTATAATATTATACGAACGTACTATCCGATTTGAACCAAACTTTGCTGAACCTATTGTCTTTACAAAATCTAAATCAAGTCGGAAAATGGGCACATTGGTTTTGAAAATTTGTAAGGCCAATAGCAATGTTGTGGAATGTCCAATTTGATGCCTAACATGTACATCGTGTTAATTCTTTCAAACTTAACTCAAGTTGGAAGTTGTGACCAGAGATGGTCCGTCAGAAACAGTGACGTAAATGACATACATTTTCCGACGTATAATACATACGTCAAAAACGTCCTTAACCCACCCAAAACCATTAGGTTTTTGACAAGATAGCTATTCCCATTAATCAATTCGAAAATTACGCATGCTTTACTCAAATCCATATAAAATGTCAACATTTTCTTCTCAAAAAAGTTTAGATTTTTTTATCAGCTCTAGTAAGGAATAATCAGATGTACGTTAATTTAATATATATTCTTCAAAATAACTGTATATGGTAATAATATTGAAATAAATGACGTTTACTACATTTATTACATTTTATATAGGTATATGACGTTTTCGACGTTTAACCTTACCCCGTCCTTATATAATCTTCGATTTGCACGAAATTTGGAATAGCGTACTGAATTAAGTCTAGAATAATGAGTGGTAAGTTTCGGAAAAATCGGTTCAGATTTTGATATAGCTCTTATATATATATATATATATTTTCGTCCGATTTTATGAAAGTGGTGCACCGAAGTCTCTATATAAATTTCGATTTGTACGAAATTTGAAATTTTTTCATTGCGTCAGGTTATTTATATAATTTCACAACACTGCAGCTCGAGTACAAAGTCTGCATGGACTTCAACTCAGCTATATGCCCTCTGGCTGGTCTATTTTGCAGTCTTCAAGGCTCCATGCCTTCAGCTTCATACCTTCCTT